GCTGCAGGTGGGTGCAGGGGGAACGGGCAGGGCGTGGGGGCTGTCTGTCTGGAGATGCTGTCACCCAAAACAGGAGCAGGGATGCCCACAGATGAGAGGGCTGCAGGTCAGCTGGAATGGGAGGAGGTGCTGGTCCTGCTGCTGGATAAATGTGGGCTACATAAGATTAGGGCCCAAGAAATGGGTAGATGGCCAGGTGGGTAAAGAACTAGTTGTCCTCCATACAGAACTAATGCTTGGAGGCTGAAGGATTGCTGTCTTCTCTTCCCCTGCAGATGCAGAACCAGACCTGGTTGTAGTTGGGAAAGTTTCTTTTAACCCCAAGGATGTGCTGGGCCATGGAGCTGGTGGAACTTTTGTCTTCAGGTGGGTGACACCAGATGCCTGTCCCCATTCTGCTCCCATTGGGAGCCACAGGGACAGAACCAAGGTGGCTGTTGCCCAAGGTGGTGGCTGCTGGTTCAGGGACTTTTGAGAACAAGCTACCACCTTCCCTTTCTTCTGGTCCTCATCACACCTGTCCCAGAGCTGGGCTTGTGGCCCTCAGTAACCAGTCACTGGGCATGGGGCAGCAGCACTGGGCTCTGCTCCGGCTGGGGGGCCACATGTGGACACGCTGAGGACTCTCTGCACAGGGGGCAGTTCGAGGGACGGAATGTGGCTGTGAAGCGGCTCCTGCCCGAGTGTGTCCATCTGCTCGACCGTGAGGTCCAACTGCTCCGGGAGTCGGACGAGCACCCCCACGTCGTCCGCTACTTCTGCACCGAGAAGGACAGGCAGTTCCACTACATCGCCATCGAGCTCTGCTCTGCCACACTGCAGGAGGTGAGCCCAGCCCCCCGCCTGCCCTGGGCATGGGGCTGCTGCTGGGGCCCACTGGGAGCCCTAGAAACAAAAGCCTTGGGGACAGACAGCTCCATACAGGCTGGTCTCCATCCCTCTCTGTCAGCCTGGGGAGGCGTCTCTCTCCCAGCCAGCCTTGCCTTTGCCCAGTAAATCAGGCTCAGTTCCTCTCTCTCTCCCTCTGTGTGGTTCCAGTACGTGGAGAGCCCCAGCTTCAACCGCCGGGGGCTGGACCCGGTGTCCCTGCTGCGTCAGACCATGTCCGGGCTGGCCCATCTCCACTCCCTCAGCATTGGTAAGGGCCAGCAGGGCCCTCTGCATCCCGTCCTCAACTGGGGCTACAGGGTTTGGGCAGGGGCTGTCGGGGTTCAGGCAGGGGCTGTCAGGATTGGCAGTGTGCAGGGCACTGGCAGAGCCCTGTTTGCTCCAGCCCTGCCAGGTGACACCACAGACTTTCTCTTCCAGTCCACCGTGACCTGAAGCCCTGTAACATCCTCATCTCTGCCCCAAATCGCCACGGGCAGATCCGCGCTGTCATCTCAGACTTCGGCCTCTGCAAGAAGCTTCAGGGGGGACGACAGAGCTTCAGTCTCCACTCTGGTATCCCTGGCACCGAGGGCTGGATCGCGCCCGAGGTGCTGCAGGAGGCCCCGAAGGAGAACCCTGTCAGTGAGCCATGGCTGCCCCTGCCCTGGGTGCTCCTTGGGCCCATTGTGGCAGTGGCCCACGCTGGCAGTGGCCTTGGTGCACGCTGCTGGGGTGCACAATTAAGACAAGCTCTACGAGCCCAAGCCAGCCTGGACACGGGCACTGTGCTGCTTGCCAGGGCTGCCCTGGTCAGTGGCTGCCTCAATGACCCTGTCCTCGGGGCACAGTGCCCAGTTGTGTTCACAGGGTGTCTCGTTGGGCTCCGCCCCTCAGAAATTCAGAGTGGGGAGGTTGGAGGGACTATAGGTTGCTGCCAAGGTTACGCTTCTGCTCCTCTGTTCGGTGCTGGGAATCCCATTCCTGCTGGGAGCAGCTGCTGTACTGGTGCCTGCTGGGGCTGGCAGATTCCTGTACCCTTGGGCTGGGGTCTGTTTGCCCAGCTGGTGGGACACCAGCAGCCCCAGTGTGTCCATCAGACTGTGGAGTCCTGAATTCTGGCTGTGCCTCTGGAAGCCCCTTCCCTGACAGGGACCTGGAGTGATGGGACTCCCATGCAATGTGTTTTTCAGCAGCTCTGCAGCCAACAACCAATGGTCCACATAAAGGACAGAAAAGTGGGAGGTGAAGGCTTTCCTCAGCCTTTGCCTGAAGGTGCCATTTCCCGCCGTGTTTTGCAGACCAGTGCCGTGGACATTTTCTCAGCTGGCTGTGTTTTCTACTACGTGGTGTCGGGGGGGCAGCACCCCTTTGGGGACAGCCTGCGGCGCCAGGCCAACATCCTGGCAGGCTCCTACCAGCTGAGCTGCCTGCAAGAGGAGGCTCACGGTGAGACCCTTCCCAGTTGAGACCCTTCCCCAGTGGCATGGCCCCGTGGGGAAGCTCTGGGCCGAGGGGCAGCTCCTGGGCCTGGCAGGGGGTTGATTTCTCCGCTGTGTTGTTTTGCCTCCAGACAAGCTTGTGGCGAGGGAGCTGATTGTGGCGATGATCAGCCCTGAACCCCAGCACCGGCCCTCAGCCCCTGTGGTCCTTGTGCATCCTTTTTTCTGGAGTCAGGAGAAGCAGCTGCAGTTCTTCCAGGTGAGCCTGTGCTGTCCCACTGGCAGTGAACACAGTGTGCTCTGAAAAACATGCTGAGAACAGCTGTGTTGAGGTCATTGTGCTCATTTTGAGCTACCTTTGGAAGGGGGGGGGGGGTTTGCTGAATCTCTGTGGGGTGAGGGCAGTGTGATACCCACCCCATCCCTGCTCTTGGGCATGCAGGACGTCAGCGACCGTGTGGAGAAGGAGCCGGCTGAGGGTCCCATCGTGTCAGCCCTGGAATCAGGGGCACGGGCAGTGGTGAGAACCAACTGGAGGATGCACATCTCCCTCCCACTGCAGATGGGTGAGCATGGGGAGGCCAGGCTTGCCCCTGGATCTGGTGAAGCAGATAGGGAGTAGACAGGTAGTAGGATGCCTTTACTGGCCGGGAGGCACCTGCTCATGCCCAGGAGCTGAAAACCAGGGCAGGTAAAGGTGCCATCCCTTCTTTGGGAGAGCAGAGCCAAGCCGGGGTTTGCTGCACCTGGGGGTGGTGCTGGCACTGCAGGGCTGTGGCAGCCCCTTGCCCCACCGTGTCCCACCTTGCTCAGTGTCTCTTCTGCTCTCCCCAGACCTGAGAAAGTTTCGTACCTACAAGGGGGGGTCAGTGCGTGACCTGCTGCGGGCCATGAGGAACAAGGTACGGTCACCCTGGTGCCCTGCCCCTGCCATCCCACTGTCCCTGTCATATCTGACCTCACCCTCTGTCCTGCAGAAGCACCACTACCACGAGCTGCCAGCCGAGGTTCGGGCAGCCCTGGGCTCAGTCCCCGAGGGCTTTGTGCAGTACTTCACCTCGCGCTTCCCGCGGCTGCTGCTGCACACGCACGGGGCCATGCGGGTCTGCGCCCACGAGCGCATCTTCCACCCCTACTACTGCCAGGGGCTGCGGGGTGACGGCGCCTGAGGGGGACACGGCACCGCGGGGCTGCTGCGGCCGCTCCTCCCTGCCTGTGCCCACAGCCCCGGGGGCTCTGGGGGGGTCCTTCTCCCTCTCCCCGGGGCCAGATGGGTGCCCAGCATACGGGGCATTACCAGCAGCACAGTGTGGAAGAGGTGGGCACAGGACAGCACTGTGCTTTCACCTGGGGTCCCCTGAGCCCACGAGGGACCCTCTGGGCACCCACCTTTGCAAACACTCACAGTCAGACTCAGGGGCCTGAAGGCACGTGAGTCAGAGAACAAAGACCTCTCTGGTGTGGACTGGGTGCTTGGAGAAAGAGGAAAATGCCCGTTGTGTTTTCCCAAGGGCAGTGGCAGTGATGCCCCGGCACAGCGAGGCCCTCAGGCCGCACTGGTCACAGTGGGATGTTCACCAGGGATCAGCGAGCTTTGTCCAGGGCATTCTCCTGTGCCATGGAACACAGCTGTTTGAGCTGTGACCAGTACCCCAGTCTTGACACTGGGGCTGAGCTCAGCCAGGCAGTGCTGAGCAGCCACACCCGACGGGGACCTGGCCTGTTGTATCCAGGCTTGCAAGGGCACAGCCCTGCAGCACTTGGGGGCCTCCAGCACAGCCCCCTGAATGAAGGTTTGAATCTCAGCTGGGCTGAGAACAAGGTTATCTCCCTTTCAGTCTGTGCCTGTGCCAGGCCTGAGCCCCTGAGCAGGTCACACAGCAGTTCTTGAGCAGTTGTCTCTGGGCACAAAGCAGGGAACTCACTTTTCCCGAGGGATCCCTTCCCTCAAACACAGGGCTGTGCCTGAAGCTCCCCCAGCCTCTTCTGCTGCCCCAGGCCCAAGTCCCATGGCTGCTCTGGTTCGTGGCATGCCCATGGGCATGTGTTCCCCATGAGCCAGCCTCCAGTATCGACTGGGTGCACAGGCACATGAAGCCCCATGGCAAAGTTCCTCTGTGGAACAGCAATAGTTTAGTCTGATTCCTGTGGGTGCTGGGATGTGGGATTTTGTTACATAGGTGATAGGGTTTGTACCTGGTTTCTTTTCAGAATATGTTTATACAAAATGTTATAAAAAATAAAAACTAAAAAGCTTGTCCTGCTTAAAAATAAATTGGCCTGAGAGCACCTGTTGGTGCTGGCAGGGAATAGTGGGGGAGAATACCTGGAAGTCAATGGGCTCCTGCAGGAGTCTTCTGCAGATGACTTCTGCTGATGCTGTACTCATAATTTTACCATGTGGTAAAATAGAGCCAAGCATCTGCAAAAGGGGAAGGTTCCCCAACACTGGAGAAGTAAACTCACCCACCTTTCTCTGTTCCCAAGAGCATCTCCCAAAACAACTTATTCCCTTCCCCCCTTCCCATCACCCTCTGCCAGTTTCCCTCTTGCTCCTTGTCAAGTGGAGCAGAGCAAGAGGCATGCCCAGCCCCGGGTTGAAGGGTAAGAGGATGGCTCTCAGTCACAGGGGAAGGCAGAGGTGCTGCTCCCTCCCTCAGCAAACCAAAGGGACCTGCGACAGGCTGGACGCTGCGGCAAACAATCTTTAATCAAGTTATGCAATATACAAAAGTTGAGGTTTCGTGTAGTTTCAGTATTAAAAGGCCGATTGCTCGGTCTCACCCTGGGCACGTTCAATACCTTACCTGAGCTTCTACAAGAGGAAACGAAGCCCAAGGCAAGGGCACAGCCACGTACAGACACCTCACGTGACAGCTCTGCTCTCCCCATGCTCTGCTCTCCCAAGAGCAGGCCCAGGTGCCTCAAACAAGAGGGCTGGTTTGGAGCCAGGCTTTTGGTTTTGGGAAGTTAGAAAAACAGACTATGTATGGAATTAAAAAAACCACTCCATTAGGAGTGGGGATCAAGAAACCTTTGGGCATCAGTCAGAGTGATCAACACTGTTCCCACAGCAACAGGGGCTTCCTTGTGGCAATGAGCCCATATCCAAGAGTGGGAGCCCAGCTGTGCCACAGGAGGGAAGCTCCCAGACCTCTCCCTCCACAGCTGGGCAGTTTGGCACAGATGCTGAGTCCAGCAAGAACAAGGTCTAAGCAGAGGGTTTCGCACGGCCCGAGCCAGACTTGGAGCTGAGGAGCTTCTCCACCATGGTGCGGGCGTAGCGGAGCCGGCTGGCCAGCTCCTTGCAGCAGCCGTGCTCCTCGATCAGGCTCAGCTTGTACGTGCGGAAGTCCCGCTTCTCATCTATGTACGTGACAGCAGCCATGAGAGGGCACAGGATGACCTTGGTGTGGTCCTGGGGGGAGAGAACACACAGTCATCACCCTGAGCACCATGCTGCTCAGGGACAGCATTTCCTGTGGATGTGCCATCCCAGCCACACCCTGTGCATGGGGACAAGGCCCTGCTGCAGAATTCCTTCAGAGTGCAGCAAAGGGGCACAGCCAGTTCAGCACTGACTGCAGCATCCTCCCTGCTGCTCAAGGGCTTGGCCCCTCCATGAGCGAGGCACACCTGGGGGGCTCAGGTACCAGCACAGGCAGTGAGGAGCCTCCAGTGCTCAGCTCCCTGGGCAAAAGCCTTGGCTCAGGTGATCACCTCCTGATGCCTTCCCAGCAGCACCACGTGCAGCCAGAGCCCCCGAGCAGCTGGAGCCACAGCCCCGGGAAGGGCCTCACCTGGAAGAAGTTGATCTGCACGGTGCCGTTGCTGAGGTGCAGGACGATGGCGCTGCGGGTCCGGAACCAGGTGCAGAGGTAGGGCAGGCGGGCCAGCTCGTCCCCCTCCCGTGGTGTGATGTTGGCCCCTGCCTTCAGCAGGTGCTCGCTCATGTAGTTCCGGAAGTACTTCAGTAGTGTTATCTGCAGATGGGACGGGCTGTGAGGAGCTGAGGGTGACCCTGGGACTGCCATCACAGTCCCAGAGCCTCCTTACATCCTTCACAGCTTGAGGTGCCACTGCACAAACTTGTGCAAATCCTCAAAGTTAACTCAGACTGTGACCCTTCAGCCTCAGTTTGCTGAACACTTCAGTCCATGCAAGTCATGCAAGCGCTTATTTCTGTGAAACTGCTCATAAATGAGCCTCAGACAGTAGAGGGAAACAGAGATGGTAGTGTCTGTCCTTGGGGCCATGTGTCACCAGCCAGAGGAAGCTTGAAGAGTGCCAGGTGACCCCCAGTTTGAGATGTTTCTCCCTAGAACCCACCCTGCCACCAAAGCCCAAGGCTGGCAGGAGTCTCACCACTCCCCAGCCAGGCTTGCCTTCCCCAGGACTGACCTTCTTGTTCAGGGTGGAGGGGTAGGACCTCACAGTGAAGTAAGACTCGGTGCTGTTCTGCTCAATGTACTGCAGGTTGTCCCCGTCGTTGTACATGATGAGGCGAGTGGAGTCGTTGAAGAGAACCCCGACACTGTTGTCACACAGCTGGTAACCTGCCCAAAAGGGACTCCGTGAGGCTGCAAACTCAGGGGCCCAGCAGCCGTGGGAAACAAAGGCAGACAGTTGTATCCCCCAGGGGACCCCCGACAGGCACCCCACCAGTCCCTGCCAGGTCTCTTTGTGGGAGTTCTGGGAGGCACTTTTTCACCTCTGCATTTGTCATCTCTCTTACTGCATCACCTGCTGCAGAAACAGCCTCAGCTGCCATTGTGGGTCCCTGTGCAGGCTGGGGAGAGCCTGGCCATCTTGTGCACAGGTAACCCCTGTCCACCTGGAAATGGCCAGGGTGATATTCAGTGACCACTGCTCTGAATTTTCTGGGTATTTGGTGACATCCCCGGCAGTGGTCTTGGACACATCACAGGAATGTGGTGATTAAAGACCCAAATTCAGGCTTTCCCCAGCCCCTTCAGACATAAGGAAAGCCTGAAGCATTGCCCCCACAGTATTTACCTAGTCCATATTTATCTGAGTAGTCCACCCATTTGCTAACCCAGAAGATGGGAATGCAGGCTGGGTCCTCGGCTTCTTCTGCAAGAAGAAAGAAGCTTGTTAGGAGACATTTTCCACACGCTGTGCACCCCACAAAGCCCATGGGCTGCCCCGGGCTCACCTTGTCTCACCGCCACTCTCTCAGAGGGCTTGGCTGCATTGACTGCTGTCAGCTGCTGCAACATGTCAGCCAGGTGGCAGGTGACAGCATCTCCCACCTCCCGCAGTCCTGCTGCTTCCTCCTTGTCCGGCAAGTTCTCCAGTGCAGGGCTGTCCAGTCCTGGGCCAGGAGAAAGGAGAGTCTGAGGCTGTGACCCGGGAGAGGTTTCCGAAGGCAGGTATAGGCAACACACACAGAATGGGTCACGTTGGAAAGAACCACAGTGGGGCATCTGGTCCCATCTCCCTGTTCAAGCAGGATCATCCCAGAGCACATGGCACAGGAGGGAGACTCCACACCCTCTCCGGGCAGCCTGTTCTAGTGTGTGCCGCCTGCACAGGAAAGTTCTTCCTCATGTTCAGGCAGAACTTCATGTGCACCTTTGTGCCCATCGCCACAGAGCTACAGCTATTGCCGTACTTCCTCCCCAGGCAGAGCAAGGAGAGCCCCCTCGACCACAAAATGCTCTGAGTTTCCATGAGAATTGGGAGATGATGGGAGTGCCGCACTGAGGGTTCTGGATGCTGCCAGAGGCCAGGCAGGCTCTGTGCAGCACTGCAGCCCAGCTGCACACGGGCACTGGCACTCACGCTCACCTTTGTTGAGCGCCGTCAGGTGCACTCACACTCACCTTTGTTGAGCGCCGTCAGCGGTTTCCGCCCGAGCTCCATCCCGCTGGGAGCGATGGAGAACCGGGGCGCGACCGTGAGGCAGCTGGTGGGCAGGCGGCTGGGGATGTAGCCCGAGGTGAAGAACTCGTCATTCAGCAGCTCGTCGATGGTCGGGCGCGTGGCAGGGTCGGACCTCAGCATCTTCTGGATGAGGTTTGCAGCCACAGGGTTGATGTGCTGAGGGACAGGTGGAATTTAGAGACAGAGGCCAGTAGGTGACATGCACTAGAAACAGACCAACTGGATTCATGACCCAGGGAAGTTATGCTTGGAGCAGAGCTCCAGTGCTGCATCAGGCAAACAGGACACAAGCCTGGGGAAGCAGAATTGGGCAGCACAGAGAGCTGTCTCCTAACAGCCTGAAGTCAACTGACTTAAGCAAGACCAACTCAACAGCAGTGGGATGAACTGGGGACCTGACCCAGACTTCATGGACTTGCTTGTGTCCGTTCACCCTCATGTGCCAACAGCCCAGCTTGGATTTTTGCTGGATCGGGGGGCAGATACCAGCTGGCTCCTCAGGAGGAACCTTTACAGGTTCACTGCACCACAGACTGAACTGTCCCCATCCAGCAGTAACAGCCACTGCCCTGTTACATGAGAGCCACCGAGTGCCAGACACAGGGGGTGCAGCAGGAGGCTGACAGGGAACTGCTGTGAGGTGAATGGATCCTCCATGGCAAGCACCGTACCTTAGGAATGGTATACTCGTTCTTCTTGATCCGGAGGTACGTTTCCTTTAGACAAGAAGTCTCAAAGGGAGGTTTCCCCACCAGCAGAGTGTACCTGGGCATTCCCAGACAAAAGGGCATCAGTTTTGCAAAAGAGACTCAAGATTCTGTGTGGAAGTGACCCTCTTCTAAGCACACCTGGGGGCTTTCCTGGCAGAGGGAACACACTTGGCATTGGACACTCAGCATTGCTAACAGCTACTTGTACTTGTGCTTCCCTTTCCCTGGAAAGGGAAGCTGGGATCTAGCACCCTGCGGGGGAAGTTCCAGTTAAGAATGGGAAATGCCCTGGGACAGTCACACTGAGGACCTATCAGCCCACAGACAGCACCCCAGCACGTCAGAGCACAGGCAAGGTCAGGTGCTGGCTGGCAGCCGGGCTCAGCCAGGAGCTCCAGGGACTGTGACCTGGAGCTTTGGCTCACACTAAAGCTCAGATGGGCCAAGAAGACCAGGACCACAGGGACCACCCACCCCCCTCGCCTTACAAAGGCATTTTGACTCACATGATGCAGCCGATGGACCAGATGTCCACCTCAAAGCTGTGCCCCTTCTTGCCCAGCACCTCTGGAGCGATATAGTTGGGGGTCCCACACAGCGTCTTCTTGCGTTCACCGTCGTACTCGACCTTGGTGGCCAGGCCAAAGTCACCTGGAGAGATAGGAAGGAGGGGTGTGTGACCGGACACAACCTGGCCGGCTAGTCCTGGGGCTGGGGTCCCCAACACATCCCGACCTGGGCACTTACCGATCTTCACCTCCATGTCGTCGCTGAGGAACAGGTTGCCCAGCTTGAGGTCGCGGTGGATGACGCGGTGGCTGTGCAGGTACTGGCAGCCCAGGATGGTCTGGCGCAGGTAGTACCGCACCTCGGGCTCGCTCAGCGCCTTCCGCCGTTTGTGCAGCTCCAGCAGCGACTGCGGGGGGACACTCAGTCAGTGCCGGGGTGGGGACACAGGACAGGGTCAGTGCGGGAGGAC